AGTTGTCTTATAAAGCATGATGTATCAAATGCATTATAAAGCATGATTATCAAATATGTTATAAAGCATGTGTATCAAATGTTTTATAAAGCACGATATGACAATTGTCTTATGAAGCACGATGTCTCAAATGACTAAAAGCACGATGTTTCAAAGGTCTTAAGAGAGGATGTCAGCATCCAACGAACAAATTTGAAATATTGTGGCAACTCGCCCAGAATTCGTTTTCTCCCCTACTTTAATATTTTGTAGCCCAATATGTCCTAATAATTGTGGTGTAGTTTTTTTGTGAAAATATAATTTAGTTTCTGAGAAATGATTCGACCACTCAAATATGCAAATTTTCACCGGGAATATTACCCGAGTTGTGTGACCTCATGTAACGAATTTACTTAACCTCCGATATTTCTGTCAACATAATCCTTTGTTTCATCATCTTAACTTTATCCCCTGTCATTATTGAAGCTGGCAAAGAAATATATTTTTTTTGGTGAATATTTTTGTCCAACATACTTTTTCTATGTCAAAAAGTAGCATCAAAACAAAGACAGTTTTAACAATGACCGATATCACAGAATGTACTGAGCTTCTAGCTTTTAAAATACAAAAGGATTGTTATAAAGTTACTGTAAAAATTTCCTTGCGTATTTGTGTCGTTCTATCGTGAGACGAACTCAAAGTCCGGCAAAATTTACTTGCTAGCGACTACGAAATATACATGTTGTGCCTATTTGTCGCCACCGTTTACTGGCATAATCACTACAATTTGTAAAAAAATCTAGCATAATACTCCTACCTCATTTATTTACGATTCTATGAGCTGTTTCGAGGATCAAGTTATGCTCTACCACATTTTAGCCAGATTTAATTCGCAGTTTATAAAACTTCACGTTATTATATCAGTTGCATGACAAGCGTGACATAAATTCAAAGATGAATAAACCTCCGAAGAGATGAGATGAGATGAGTTTTTTTTTCCCTCTTAGCATATCTATAAAAACCTTCCAAGAATTTCTGTATTCAGAAAACTAAAATGTCTAGATCCATCAATAATTCTTTTGCCGTTGGAAGTCAAAGAATGTTCACAAAATTCAATTCGATTAACAAGCTACATACTGATTTAGCTAATTGATCTGTTGTATAAACGTTTCATCTTACATGTTAACAAGAAGATTTGCTGACAAAACTCTCTCTCTTTCTCTCCACCGATAATCACATCAAAATTTGTCCTTGCTAAATTTCAGGTGTGCTGCACGTATCAGCACCCCCCAAGGAACCCCTATACATAAGAGGGCGAGGGTGCGCGCCGGGAATTTCGAAAAGTTACCCCTATAAAATTATAAAAGGTACTTATCGGTGTGGGAGTGGCAATAACTCATGTCTACTCCTAAAAAGTACCAATTTAAACACAAAATATTTTAAAATCCTAAAAATAAAAACTCCTTTATCGATATGCTCCAGAGGCTCAAGTCAGATCATTAAAATCGTCCTAGTAATGCTTATTTCGGGTATTTTATTGAGTGAAAAACATCCTAAAAGGTACCAGCTAGGTCTCTGGTAGTCCACTAAGGTTTGAAACATCGTAAAAGGTACCAGATCACTGATTTTGACCCCTGAAAGGTACGACAAGCATCCTCACTCATATCTTGTCGCCTGATAACTCGTTTCGAATAATTTTACTCTGCTATCATGTGGCGACCAGGATGAACTCGTTCTTGAGCGAAACTCATTCCGATATCATGTAAAAGGCTCCTGAGAGCTTTTATTCCCAGAGCATCACGCTTTGCTCTCCCACCAGAACACTATAAATTTCAATATGCACTGCTACTGAAACAAAGATTACCGTATTTCTTCACCTATAAGCCGATCGATTTTTCAGTATTTGACACAAAAGTTTGGGAGATTTTTTCACAAGAAACGGGCTTCGGCTTATAGCCGAGGGTTTGGAATTCAAAAACAAGAAAAAATTTACTGTTAATGCAAAGTGACTGTAAATTCCATGACAGCAGCGCTCTTTACGTGACATGCTTTAAAATTGACATGACAACGTATTTCTGACCATCAATCAATTTGCTTCCCACGCATTGAAAGACGATCTCACTCAACTCGAAAAAATTCTTCTCATTTCACATTACAAATGAAATATTTGGTCTCTCTGCTGTGAAAACCACTCCATAGCTTGCTCGTCTAGTTCGGGACACTTGGGAGTGAAACGGCTCATTTTTGCTCGTATTGAGAACATCTTAAGCTTGCCAGAAAGAATAGTCGCCTGGTCTCATCTCCAGTGTCGTACCATGGACTCACTAAGTCCATAATCTCATGCGATTTCCGAGCTGTTTTCTACAGCTTCAGCCTCTGCGACAACTTTTCTCCTGAAAGCCATTGTACACGAAGAGCGGTGTGCTTTCGGTATGATGAGAAAAATAACAGTGACGAAAGAGATACTCGATTGAAACATTGGTCAGGTTACAGTAACTGAGAGTATTGTTGTGTTTCTACAGTTGCGTAGTAGAATTTACATCTTCACTGATTCGCTTTTTTTCTTTTGTAAAAAGTAACATATTGTAATGTCAATTTAACATAAACAAAAATCTTCATACAGGGTAAATATTCATTTGTATTGGTATCAATTATCGCGTGACTAGCTTATGATATACATGGGGAAGGGGAAATAGAATGTAAAACCTGGGCTCCTGGCAAAAAGTAATACCCAAGCGTAATCTAATAACCGAAACAGCTTACGGGTCTCATAAAATCATAAATGAACAAGGTAAGAGTGTTAGTTTTTTTTACAGATTGTAGTGATTTATGCCAATAAACGGTGGCAACAAGTAGGCACACCATGTACATTTCATTGTCGCTAGCAAGTAAATTTTGCCGGACTTTGAGTTCGTCTCACGATAGTACAACACAAATACACAACAAAAATTTTACAGTAACTTTATAACCATCCTTTTGTCTTTTAAAAGCTAGAATCTCAGTACATTCTGTGATATCGCTCATTGTTAAAACTGTCTTCGTTTTGGTGCTACTTTTCGACATAGAAAAAGTATATTGGACAAAAATATTCACCAAAAAATAGAAATTTCTTTGCCAGCTTCAATAATGACAGGGGACTAAGTTAAGATGATAAAACAAAGGATTACGTTGACAGAAATAACGGAGGTCAAGTAAATTCGTGAGGTCACACAACTCGGGTAATATTCACGATGAAAATTTGCATATTTGAGCAATCGAACGAAAAAAATCATTTCTCGAAAACTAAAATATATTTTCATCAAAAAACTACACCAAAATTATCAGGACATATTGGGCTACAAAATATGAAAGAAGGAGAGAAAACAAATTTTGGGGACTTGCCGCTGTTTGTCTGATGCATGTCGACACTAGCTCTTAAAAAGCACGATGTCTCGAATATCTTTAAAAGCACGATGTCACAAATGTCTTAAAAAACATGATGTCCCAGAAGTCGTAAAATGCACGATGTCCCAGAAGTCGTAAAATGCACGATGTCTCAAGTGTCTTAAAAAGCAGGATGTCTCAAAGGTCTTATAAAGCACGATGTCACAAAGGTCTTATAAAGCACGATGTCACAAAGGTCTTATAAAGTACGCTATCACAAATGTATTAAAAAGCATGACGTCTCAAATGTCTTATAAAACACGATGTCTCAAAGGTCTTAAGAAGCATGATGTCTCAAGTGTCTTAAAAAGTACGATGTCACAAATGTCTTAAAGAGCACGATGTCACAAACGTAAAATGCACGAAGTATTACATGTCTTATAAAGCACGATGTAACAAATGTCTTATAAAGCATGATAGCTCAAGTGTCTTAAAAGGCACGATGTCACACGTCTTAAAAAGCACGATGTCTCAAATGTCTTAAAAAGCACGATGTCTCAAATGACTTAAAAAGCACGTCTCAAAGGTCTTAAAAAGTACGATGTCACAAATGTCTTAAAGAGCACAATGTCACAAACGTCTTAAAAAGCACGATGTTACAAAGGTCTTAAAAAGCTAGCTCTTAGCTAGAAGTCGTTAAATGCACGATGTCTCTTGTTATAAACGATGTCTCAAATGACTTAAAAAGTACGATGTCTCTAATGACTTAAAAAGTACGATGTCTCTAATGACTTTAAAAGCACGATGTCTCAAATGACTTAAAAAGCACGATGTCTCAAAAGTGTTAAAAAGCACGGTCACAAAGGTCTTAAAAAACACGGTCACAAAGGTCTTAAAAAACAGGATGTCTCAATTGTCTCAAGTGTCTTAAAAAGCACGATGTCTAAAATGACTTAAAGATCACGATGTTCCAAATGTCGTAAAATGCAAGATGTATCAAATGTCTTAAAAGCTCGACGTCTAAAGTGTCTTACAAAGACATTTGAGCGACAGTTGAGTGTTCGTAAAAGTTCTAGAATGCACGAGTTTTTAAATGTCTCGCAAAGCGCGAGGTCACTAAAAAAAATCCAGGCAATCATATGTCAAAAAAGCTAGTTTGGTAAACTTTCTAAAACAGATTAGTTTGGATTTAAAAAGGAACCAGACAATTACATGTCTCTGACAGTGGGTAATCGAATTTGTTTAAATCCCCTTAATCAACAGTCTTTTACAAGCCATATATTTAGAAGCCAACTTTGGCATGGCATTGACCTGGAGATAGGATGCTAGTATTGAACTGTATGGTAACTGCAAATTCTCTCCCAATTCTCCAGCAAATACGCCATTCATCTCATGTAAACTTACTGATTGTCTGAGTTCATCCTCTCGTACTCTTCAGAACTCTCTTCTATCCTTCAACAGTTTTTTGAAGGTATAAAAAGATTTTATTTTAACTTATATGGCAACTAAAAGATTGATTTTTACAGGTACCACTAACATAAATTTTATTGCCTCTTTCACAAGACAGTGTCTATCAAGGCTTTGTGACCTTTGCACTCTTTACACTATTTTTCATATACATTTTAAGATAAAATTGAGATATCAAGCATTGCTTCATACCTTTGCTCACACACAGCTTGTGCTGCAAGACAACCTTCTGTCACTGCCCATTCAATTTTACAGAGCATATCTGCATGACCTCCTACAAAATATATCACTGATTAGTACCTTTCTCAGTTGCTTGCCAATATTTCCATGCTTCAAACATACTAATGAACATTACTGACATTACCTATCCATCAAAAGAGGAATAGCAATTTAATTTGGCAGGCCATAAAATTTCTTTTCTACAAGGTAACTAATTCACTTGCCTGTAATGATGTCTCCAGTAATTAGTGTCACAGGAGACATCGTGGGCTGAAAAATGCGGCACTCCAACTCCATATCTTTCGTGTGATCAGACCTCCCACAAACTAGCGTAACACTAGAATAGAAAAAGAAAACACTAAGATATTTCTGCATAGAAATGGCCTCAACCAACACGGCTTCAGTAGCAAGAAGTAATGCCACTTGCCATTACACCGATAGTTCTCACCAAAGGCTAATAATAATTCTGTTACTCAATGCATCTTCATTATCCATGCAATCAATTTCAGCCTCTTGTATCCACAAGAAAGAATATAATGTTTAATTACAAATTCAGCCTCTTAATTTGCCTCCCAAAATCTACCCACTGACTGGTACTTTCACTTTAGCTCGACAAATATAACGTAAAAGAAGTTTAAAATTAGCTACCTTCCACATCAAACTGAGATCCTACATAGGAGACCAGGACATAACACTTTTTGATGGTCTCAGTACTATCCATGAGTCGCCTACAAGAAGATTTAAACTTATTAGTCCTTATAACAAATAGAAAAATAATGTACAGGTATTTAGATTAATAATTGTATAACTGTATTCTGTATGTTAGGCCATGTTCTGTGTGTTAATTTAAATCAAGTTATGAAATCAATCAATGTTTTTTTCCTCCCTTCTTCCTTCCACATGACCCAAAGTATGGTCAGGAACATACTCACCCAAGCATACCTGCCGCCTTATCTGTTAGTTTAAAACGTATTAGGCACACTGGCTTCCCATCAAAATGAGCCTGCAGCTGCATCTGTGTGCAAAAAATTTATAATCAAGTCAATATTACCCAATTGGGTTATCATCAAGAGGTTGAACTGATTATAATAGGAACTTAACAATATAGGATTAAAGCAGAAAAATAAGAGTGCAATCTCAAATGTGATCTAACATGTTGATAGGAGGTTTTTGGTAGAAAGCAATGATCTGCTAACTTTCTGTAAAGCCTTGTTTCCAACCAAAAGTGGTGTATAATGAGGAAAAAGGTTATATTTAATGATTATTACTTTCTTTGATTGAAGTAATGAGTAATGGACTTAATAGGAAACTTATTCCCTTAACCTAAAGTCTTGGAACTACTGAGCATAGTTTTGACGGTCATTCACACTGCAGCACGACAGAGTCCATATATAGTAAGCTTATTCCCTTGGAGTAAATTTTAAGTCGAACTAAAGTAAATGAGAGGAGATGAATACAAATTTATTTTAAGATACGCAAATATACTATGTCACAATGGTTCGAACTTGAAATCAGTTATTCAAGCCCAGTTTGCTAAGCATCAATAGTGAAACCCCCTAAATGTGGACTTTACTGAACACAGTATACCTGCAAAGCAGACAAGCAGATGATGGGAAGTCTTGGAGGGATTTTATGTGCTATAATGATAAAGAAAAGATGTTATGGAGCCATTTCAATTAAAAACTTTATGATAATGAGTTACATTCATTGCAATTCATACCAGTGGATATGGCATTTCTAGCTGTTGATGAGGATTGAGGTTCCATCATTTCATCATCACTGCTAAGATACACTGGGAAATCAAAATTAAGAAAGTGAATAAGTTCTAAAAGAAAAGGCGGATCAATAAGCAAGCAGTTATTATTCTAATAAGACCAACATTGATGAAATCTTACTGCCCCATAGACATTCACTAGGTCTTCAACAGGCTTCTGTTTGGGTAGCGGTACAACGTCAGCTTGCTTCCACGGCGAGGGCAGCTTTTGTTCTTTATAGCTAGAGTTGAGTATAGCCGTAACGGGTTCAACAAGAACCTCTGCATACTCTCGCAGGAGCCAATTAGGAACACAGTCAGGTCCGGCTGCTTTATGCGGGTTTAATTGCTTCAAAGCAGCCAAGACCGCAGACTCGGATACAGACAACACATAGGGTTCATCCTCGTGGGCTGCTCGTGGGCTGCTTGCGGTTTCCGATGTTGCGGTAGCGGCTGAAGGCGTCCTTATCTCCCTTGTTGAACACTTGCTGGCGCAGCTTGATAAGGTTTTTAAACTCTGCGGTGATCCATGGCGCATCACTAACGTGTGTCTTGAAGTGCTTAACCGGCATGATGAGATCCATACCAATCTGAATTATGTCAACGAACATGCTTAACCTAGCCTCACAGTCATCTCCATTAACTGGAGACCAGTCAATCGACGAGAGATAGCGTCCGAGTTCCAACTTTCTACTTGGTCGTGTGTCTCGCCTTGCCGTGGTTCTCATACTGCAACCGTTGCCCTTGGGTCTTGCTTTGGGTCTCACTAAGACAACATTGTGGTCAGACATGCCAAAGGGCGAAAGGTTTGCACAACGTTTGAGTCATAGAGCTGTGGAAGGTTAGTAAGCACTAAGTCCAAGATTTGGTCACCCCTTGTTGGCTTATCTACTAGTTGCTTCAGCTTGAATTGGGTGGTCAAACGGCGAGTATTTAGGCGGTTGAAATCGCCGCACAACACGAAACCGCAACCGGGGTACTCTCCTTCCAAAGAAGTGAGGGACGCAGACAGATAGTTCACAAGTGCTGCATCTCTGATGCTGTTGTTGAAGTGTAGACGGTACATGACACCCGTGACGATACAGGGAACTCCGCGTGGAAGTTGGCTGGGTCGTAGCCACGCCCACAGTGCCTCGATGTCAGGATCCGACAGTTTTTCTAGGTGCTTGAATTTGATAGAATTCTCGATGTAGAGGCCAACACCGCCGTGATGGTCTGTGGTGCGGTCACGATGGATAAATGAGTAGCCTGGGATCTGCAGCAGTGAGTCACAGATTGTCTCTCTTAACCACGTCTTGGTAAAGAACCCTAAATTAGGTTTTAGATCCAGGACAACAGAACGAACCTCATCAATCTTGGGTGCTAGTGACATGGTGTTAGCGCGTAGTGCACTAAGGCCAAACACTGAGTTTTCTTTCCCCTGATTCGATGGAATTGTAGGGGCAAAACGTGAAAGGTTACGCCCGCACACACCCGGGGGGCGCTGGGGACCAGAAGGCTGGTCCCGCAGGCGATTTTGAGGCTTGATCACCGGAATGGAACCGTTGTTTAATGTGGAAGACGGAGCAGTATGTAAATTACTCTCGCCATTGAGGTTTACCTTTTCGCCAGGGAAGTCGGCTAGAAAACTGCCATAGCTGGACAAGGGCTGTCCCATGGAAGATTCCAGCACCGTACCGGGTCTCGGTAGGACTTGTCTGCTCCTGTTACCACCACGAAGGCCACGACGCGTAGGCTTAACTCTAGATAGACCAAGGGAGGCCAAGCGTTGCCATAAGTCTGGTGCAAGACGGTTGTTAGTTTGGATTGAGGAGGATAAAGACCTTAGGAAGGAGCTCGTATAGATGGCTGCCATACTGGAGAACACTTCTCATCCAACAGGGTTATTTTGCGTAGAAATAATGAGTAAAATCCAAGGTTTTCCGGAGATCAGTATTAACACGTGCTGCCGGGCAGGCGCTCGTGATTAAGATGAAGACTAAGACTGAGATCGTTCAGGCATATACAAACCATGATCATGAAAAGGAAAAAGAACGCCACTAAATAAAATGTAAATTGCTTTAATTCCTACCTATTGATGGCCGCATAAATACCCTACTTCTATTTCGGTAGACGTTTTTAAACGTGTCACCACAAATATCAGGCGTCAACCCGTGTTAGAATATTTGTGGAGCCTAACGCTTTGTAAAACTGCAATCTGAAAAAAAAACAGCTGGCATTCACTAAAAGTAACGATAAATGACGGTTGTTATAGAATTAGTAAAATCGTCTTACCTCGAAATCTCTTCATCCGTTTTTAACTGATGGGAATTATGTTTGAGCATATCAGCAATATGCGCGTTGGTCGAATCGTTCATGAACGTTATCTCTTTCACACGGCCACCCGACTCCAGTGATGCAAAGTCGGCTGCTCGCGGAACGCGCAACTGATCGGCCCAACGTGGCAAGATGAAAGTGCGTTTCATAGTTCACACACGCCTGGCATTACCACTCGCCATGTTTATACTCCAGTGACTGGTCTCGTAAGATTGAAGATATGGATAAATGATGTGCTGGTCAGTTCCACGGTAGATTTTGACACCTTCACCAGAAAAGGAGAGTGACAGATATGTTACAAAAGGGTGTGGTAACTGTGAAAGCTTCCTAGAGAGATTTCTCACCTTCTGCGCCGAGGCATTGTTTTAAATGGCCTTATATTAGGATGAAAAAAATAAATAAATAAAACGAATCATTGGCGCGGAGTTTTGTGTGCTTTCCAAATACATAACTGGACCTTTATTAACTTGATGAAAGTGCATTTTTGTCGTTTATAGGCCACGTGCAATTAACTTGAAAATTGCGAGGGAAGCGATAATGGGCGGAACAGACCCGCGTCAAATAACATGGAAGGTAGTATATGCGATTGAAGTTGTAGATTGTCCAGCAGAACTTCTACAACAGACACTTGCTTGCTCCCATGGGTGGTTCATGTTTTGCACTTTAGTACCCTTCTGTTAATCAAAAAGAGCTAATAGATACCTAGGTAATTTAGTATTATCAACTGAGTTGATAATGTGCATTGGCCACCGTAAAGAGTTTAGAAGCTGACGTTTTGAGCATTAGCCTTTCGTCAGAGCGATCAATCGTTAATCGCTATGGACTCATTTGATAACATTTAATTACCCTATGATACTTTCCCACCGACGTAGCATCTCTAGTAAAACCGAGTTATGTATTTGACAATCGAGTTTTGAAAACTTTCTGCCCTTAGTTTGTTTTTTCTATTGATAACCTCTTTGGCTTCGCCAGTTTTCAAGTTCAGAAAAATATGCTTGAATAATGTTGATGTAACAATTGTTTGATCAATTTGTAGATCCTTTCAAACTTTTACAAGGATCATTCGCTTTGGCTTTGACGCGAGGGAATTGTAGTCAAAATTAATGCGAAACGATGCAACGAATGTTTACGACAGAAACAATAAACTGAAAAAGAAAAAAATCTCACTTCTTGCAATTTCAAGAAGTGCCGCACACTGTAGAGTTGATGCCGCCTTTTACAGTTATATAGCACTGTTATTTTTGCTCTCACTTTTTTTCCTTGTTCTTCTTATTAAAGCTTTCTGTGCGTTACGAAAGTTCAAAAGTTTGCAAAAACTGAGGGAATGCGTATTACAACGAAAACATGTGCGTAATTGTCCACCACACCTACAAAAAGCTGTAATCCCATGGGTGAACCCTAGATGAGGGCTTCACTTTTATGTGTAATTCCTTCAGCGGTGGAGAAAAAAATTCCCAAATCATTTTATTTAGAGCGAAATTTCAAGTTACTGGAAAAAATTTAACAAGACATGGATCTCCTTCAAGATAGTAATCTTGCCAACGGTCCGACTATCGAACTGATCGAGTGCTACAACTTGGATATCTGATCGCAAACCTGCTCAGATGCTTACCGTGCAACCAGCCCATGGAACTGAATGAACGCAATTACGA